TATTTAGGAGAGAGTAAGCAAGAGCATTTCTTAGACTCTACACACTGATGTCCTGGTAACGATGTACTCACAACAATATGACATCATTGATGACAGACATCAAGTCCTCGTTTAAAGACACCTGATTTGATGTTGTTTCACTTTAATGTCAGTTATTTTCATGAAGCTTGTAATCTCACTGAGTTTTGCAAGATTAATTTTAATGTTATTTTCTTCATGACTGAATGGCCTTGGTGCTCTTCTTCAAAGCCTTCACTGAAAATAAGGGTTCAGGACAGAGAAGCAGGGACCCAGGAGCATTGAAAGGAAAGATGAATAGTAAAACAAACATACTTAGAGGTTCTGAACCATTTTTTTGGCACTTCTGAACAATCTGACTCTCACTTGCATGACAATAGAGTTCTACCTTCAGAATGAATTTGGGTAATGAAATGGAATGCAAGCCCAGGAAAAGAAAACAGAGAAGCTGTGCATCGGTGAGGGAGGGGAGCGGGGAAAAGGCCACATCTTGGATGGTTGAGTACTGGGGAGGGTCCACAATGACCAGAAGGATTAGGGAGCAGAGGTTCAGCAGGATTGCTGTCAAGGAACTAGTACCTGTACTATAACTAACAAGTTACAGTTTTCTTTCAGAATTTTAAATTACTTAATTTATTCATGTAGGAATTTAGCAATGTAAAATGCAACATAAAGGATACAATGTTTTTTTTTCTGATAAAGTAAGTTCTACAGAACCAAATTACAATTTTATCATGGAATCCAGTGTTTCACTTAAATTCATGATTTTCAGGAAAACAACCACAATTTCAAATAAGGAATCCCTAATTACTAATATACCACGTGATTTAGCAGCCTATTAACATACCACATCTCATTTTGCTCTCCATTCAAATAAAGGTGTAGTGCATAATGGATTGCCAATTCAACATTGCCCATTTTAAATCATTGTTAAAAGTTAACATCGCTTTAATTGCATGTCATTGCATTGAAACATGCAGAAGATAGAACCAAGTTATTCAGTCTCACGGAACATTGAAAAGACAGTGCAGTGAAATTATAGGTTACAAGAGAAACCATAGACCAGAATGATTGAGCTCTCAATTTTCTCCTCAGAATGTATAAATGAGAGAAATTTTTTTTTCTTGTTATATTCTTGGAATAATCCATTAAATGACCTACATATTCAGAAATTACGCAGTTCAAAGCCACATATTATTGCAAAATCACAAGCAGGCCATTTAAGAACAGAGAAACTCAGAACATTCTTTTCTTTATTGGAGGAGGAATTTAAGGTTTTAGAGCACTAATATCTTTGACAGTAATGTTCTTTGTGCTGTTGAATTCAGTAGTTAATCTCAAGCAAGTTCAGGAACAGCTTCTTTCCAGCCATTATCAGACTGTTGAATGCACTGTAGCCTCAAACAATGGAACCTGCAATGTAACATGTATGCCTCTAACTCTTTTTTGATCCGTACATCCTTTGCTTGTTGTGATCTGCCTGTATTGCTTGTAAACAAAGCTATTCACTGTATTTCGGTACACATGACAATAAGATCAAAAATCAAAAATCACTGTTCATTCTTGCCCCATGAAAGAAGCCACTTTGATGTTGTAATATTCCTTGGTAATTAATACAATTTAGAATGTAACTCCCCAGGGCAGAAAATTGGTGCCATGCATCCATACATTTCAAGCCTCCAGTCAAACTCCAAATAATCTATTTTTTAATTGAAGAAATTTTGATACTTCTTGTGTGAGAAAATACAATAACAATGCAATATAATGGAGAGATTGCAGGATTTAGTTGGAGAGAGGGATCTGGGGGACCTGGTACATGAATCACAGAAAGTTAATATCCAAGTGATTAGGAAGACAAATGGAATGGAATGTAATGTCAGGGCATTTTACTGCAACAATGTAAGGCATTGGTGAGGCCACGTTTGGAGTACTGTGTACATACTTGGTCTACTTATTTGAAAAAGATGTTATTTTACTGGAGCAGTTCAAAAAAGCAGGTTCACTTGACCCATTCAAAGGATGCAGGGCTTATCACATGAAGAAATGTCGAACATGTTTGGCCATAATCATGGCACTTATCAAAATGAGAGGTAATCTTATCAAAACTTATTGTGTGAAAATGTAAAACCAGAGTGCATAATCTCAGAGGAAGGTGTCAACCAATTAGAACAGAGATAAGGAGGAATTTCTGTTCTGAGAGGGTCATTCATCTGTGAAATTCTCTACCACAGAGGGCTATAGAAGCCAAGTCCTGAAGTATATTAACGTTTCAGATAGATTTTTAGTTGGTAAGGGAATCTACTGCTTTCAGGAAAAGGCAAGGATACTGGAGTTGAGGTTTATCAGATCGGCAATCAGATTATTGAGTGGTGAAGTGGAGTTGATGGGCTGAATGGTCTGTTCCTGTGTCTTATGGAAAAATGTAAGAACTTGATGGGCTTGGATCGGGCAGATATTGAGAGAATGTTTCCTCTTGTCAGTGAGGCCAAAATGGAGAATGTGGTTTGGAATAACATGACTCCCTTTAAAGATAAGATGCATCGAATGTTTTTCTCTCAAAAAGGTGTGGTATTCTCTGACTCAGAACGAAGTGACAGTCACATAGGCCAAAAAAATTTATGCAATGTTAAGTTGATTAAACCTTTGGTAGAAGGTAGAGTCAAATGTTGTGGTACAGAAAGCAAAGTGAAGCTTAAACAATTGCCAGATCAGCCATGATCTTACTGAATGATCGAGTAGATAGAGGACCAAAACTGTTTATTCCTTTTCATATATTCCTGCGGGGCTAAGTAAATAACTTTTAAGCATAGCTTAATAACAGAACGTAAGTAAGAGTAACAAAAGCAAAATACTGTGTATTGAAATCTCAGAGCAAAACAGTCAATACTGAAAATACTCAACAGGTCACCCAGCACTTGTGGAGAGTGTTACAATCTGGTGAGAAGGGTTGAATTGGCCCCTTTTGTTTCAACCTTCTTGTTTGGCCACAAAAAAAGTTTAAGTTCTTTTATAGCATGAGGCTAGACTTCAATCGAATTAAATGTTGTTGACTGATTTTTACTAAGTAAGGCAGTAAGGAGCCAATCACAAGTTTTCACAAGAGTGAAAGAAAGAGTGATTTTATAACCTGTTAAGTTAGATGCACACGGAATAGTGTCCACAACTAAATGAAGATTTTTTTAAAAAATATACAGTTGAGAGTCCTTTAGGTGTCCTTAAATTGTAAGATTTAAATCGAAACCATGGGAAGGATTGAGTCCTTTTCTTTGTTTAAGTGTGGATGCAGAAAAATGGAAGGGCCGTGTTTTTGTGGGCTGTGTAGCTTTCCAACATGATTCTTCTCAGGTCATTACATATGCATGTATGGGTTAAAGAAGCAACACATTTTAATGATGTCTCCCTAAATGTTTTTCTTAAGAAAAAGATGCCATAATAACTGCCAAAATCAACCTGGATAGAGGTCAGCACCTGTGGGCTTGTCAAAAAACTTTTCTCCACTGCCACAAGAAGTGAATGATCTTTTTCAGTCTATGGTTCACTCCATGCTTCATGCTCCTTTGAGTCTGAGTTAGCATTTTAAGGTTGCCACTAAAAAGGACTGTTGCACAGCAAGTTGGGTGCCAGACATCTCCATCTGATGCCTCGTGTGTAATCAATGTCCATCACTTCATTGCAGCAACCAAATAAGCATGACTGCCACTATATTTCATAGATCATAGAATCCCTACAGTGTGGAAACGAGTCCTTTGACCCGACAAATCCACACTGACCCACAGAGCATCCCACCCAGACCCATTCCCCTATACACATCCCTGAACACCATGGGCAGTTTAGAATGGCCAATCCACCTAGCCTGCAAAACTTTGGACTGTGGGAGGAAACCAGGCTACTCACAGATCTATTTGGGTTGATACTTAGAATACAAAGGGAGCTATAACATTCAGCAGCTCATTCACTATCAGGTTGCTGATCCTTCATTACAACTCAGAGAATGTACACATCTGACCGATCTCACCGAAGCTTCGGATGAAAAAAAAGGCACAACCCCAAAAGATGGCCTTTTAAGTTGATCTCCTTTTTGAGTTCAACCTTGCTTGCCTCCACTGGTCAGATTTGCTCGCATCAACCAATGTGGCACATGGCTGACTTGCTTGGGGAGGTTTGTTGGCCAGGTGAGGCTTCACCCCTAACACTGTTACAGTATGTTTAAGGGGAGAATGTAAAACAGGAACAGAATGTAGTTCTGAAGGAAGTACACTGGACAGAAAATATCAACTCTGTTTTCGCTCCACAGATGCTGCAAGACCTGCTGAGGTTTTCCAGCAATTTCTGTTTTTGTTACAGAATGTAGAGGAGAGATGGGTAGGCGTGTGAAAGTGTTGACTGGCTTAATTGACTTTGGAGAAAAATGTTAATTTCAGTTCAGGTTCCCACTTGTCTCATCTGCCTTCGGCGTCATTAAAAACTTTGCCAACTTGTGTAGGTCAGGTAATGCCTTGTAATCAATTTAAGTCAGTATTTGTTTTCCAGTTTTAAAACCATTTCAGTCCATGAAAGTCTTAGGTATTAATTCATGATGGAATTCAAATTTCAAGTGTTTAACCCTTTGTTGTAGAAATTTGTAAATAGAAGTATATGCTTCTGTACAACAAGAAATCCTGAGGGAAAAATGTGACTTATATTAATTATCGCTGACATTATTAACCATATTAAAGTTAGCTGAAAGATACCTGAAGAATACAAACAAAAAGCCTAAACAGCTCCCAAGAAAGAGCTAGTTGTTTTGGTGATTGCAGTATAATTAAACGGAGCTTCACAGTTTATACCTATTTTTGATTGCTTACATATATTTTTGGATTTCATTCACATCATTAAAGAGAAAGCTAACTGATTTCCGTCACTAAATGCTGTTGTTAACATTGCAGTTATAATCAGAGAAAGATAAAATTGCACCTTGTCATTTCTTAATCATTGCATTGCAGAACCAAAGAACGAACTGTTCCTGTTTTACGGAAAAGGACGTCCGGGAATAATTCGAGGAATGGATATGAATACAAAAGCAGTTGATGAATATATGATACAAGTAGAAAACCTTGTCAATCCACGAGCTCTTGATTTCCATGCAGAAACAAATTATATCTACTTTGCTGACACAACCAGCTTCTTAATTGGACGACAGAAAATCGATGGCACAGGGCGAGAGACAATCCTAAAAGATGGTAAGTAAATTGAAATCCTCATGGTGCTTGTCTATGATGAGACATTTAGATCTCCATTGGTATATGCTATACATCAAGTTTTCTACAATACTTGCAAATTCTTTTTCATATAGTGTAGACTAACAAACAGCATTTTCCATTCTATTAGGCCAAGCATGTGCTTGGAGCTATCGTGAATGACAGAATTTTAACTACTCTATTCTTTTTGCGTTAAAAGAGATTGTCTTAGCCATCAAGTGAACTTTTTCTCTGAACAATCTCTTCAAAACATAGAAACATCTCAGTAAGGAATACAGACAAAATTCCAAAACTTTATTATTTAATAAATAAATAGTGGTTTAACTCTGTGAAGTTGAACTTAACAATGTAATGATTTCAAATGAATTATTCCTGGACAAGTCAAATCGCAATTCAGATCTGACGTTTGGCCTGATAGTTCATGTCATGCTTTTATTTTGGTATTAACCATGTGATCTTGCACTCAAGCATAAGCAGCAAAGCTGCAGATTTGGTTTTAACAATAGCACAGTTGTTTATTTACAAGAAATGAAAATCAAAGCAGAATCATGAAAGCTATTTACTTATAACACAAACATTAAATCTTTCAAAACATAGAATAGAATAGAATAGGTCACATCTACAGAGAATGTATTCACTGAAGCTTCAATTCCTAGTCTCAAGAATCAGATAGCTTCTTCCTGACCCTTCATACATCTGAACTTAGACTTTCTCAGCTTCAAATAATCCTTTCAGATTCTTAAACAAACACGTCTGGTCTGGAAGTCTAAAGCTAAATTCCTTACTGGAGTAACCTATTTCTTAACAGTTCCAAATTATCTCCCTTCAAAAGAAACAATTGTTTTACACATCCAGCTTTAGCCCAAGACCTCTGCAAACCTGTCTATCTGAAATTAAAAATGTTTTCAGTAATATGAGTGTTACCCTAATGCACTGTACCAATTAATCTGTGCCTATAAAACTTTCTCAATGCAAACAAATTACCATTAGCCTCTCGTTCACTGTTTTTCTAAAAAACAGTCATCATGACTACAGAAATACTTCCAAACTATTTAATTATATAAAATAAAGTTAATATATAACATTAATATATTTCTATAAATATAATTAATATATAATATTAATATATAATATTTTAAATAATTATATAAATTATTTATTTCCATCATGGACACAAATCAAACTCACGTTCCACTGGTTCAAAACCCTGAATCAAAAATATATTGTGCTAAAATATGTTTGAATCACAAAAATACCATGTGATATTTTAATGTATTAGAGTCATGGAGTCATAGAGATGTACAGCATGGAAACAGACCGTATGGTCCAACTCGTTTGTGCCGACTAGATATCCTAAATTAATTTGTCCCATTTGACAGCATTTGGCCCATATTCCTCTAAATCCTTCCTATTCATGTACCCATCCAGATGCTTTTTAAATGTTGTAATTGTACCAGCCTCCACTACTTCCTCTGGCAACTGATTCCATACATGTACCACCCTCTGTGTGAAAAAGTTGCCCCTTAAATCCCTTTTAAATGTTTCCCTCTCACCTTAAACCTATACCCTAAGATTCTGGAGTGCCCTATCTTGGGGAAAAAACCTTATCTATTTACCCTATCCATGCCCCTCATGATTTTATAAACTTCTAGAAAGTCACCCCTCAGCCTCTGACGCTCCAGGGAAAATAGCCCCAGTCTATTCAGCCTCTCCCTATAGCTCAAACCCTTCAACCCTGACAACATCCTTGTGAATCTTTTCTGAACCCTTTCAAGTTTCACCACATCCTTCCTATAGCAGGGGGACCAGAAGTGAACACAGTATTCCAAATGTGGCCTAACCAATCTCCTGTACAGCCGCAAAATGGGAGTGAGGTGGTTTATAAAGAAATGCGGTCGATGGAGTGTAATTGCGGACACTGAGATGGTTTGAGGTGTGTATACTTCAATGCCAGAAGTATCAGAAATAAAGCGGATGAACTGAGAGCATGGGTCGGTACTCGGAACTATGATGTTGTGGCCATTACAGAAACTTGGGTAACTCAGGGAGAGGGATGGTTGTTGGAAGTTCCAAGATTTAGATGCTTTAAAAGAAATAGGGAGGGTGGAAAAAGAGGTGGGGGGTTGGCATTGCTAGTCAGGGCGAGTATAGCAGCTACTGAAAGGCAGTTCGAGAATGATATGTCTACTGTTAAATTACAGATGGAATTTAACCCTGAAAATTGTGAGGTGATTCATTTTGGAAGGACAAACTTGAAAGCAGAATACAGGGTTAACGGAAAGATTCTTGGCAGTGTGGAGGAGCAGTTTGGGTTGATGTCAGGAACAAGAAAGGAGCAGTCACTTTGTTGGGGTTTTTTTACAGACCCCCTAATAGTTGCAGAGAAGTAGAGGAGCGGATTGGGAGGCAGATACTGGAAAGGTGCAGAAGTCACAGGGTTGTAGTCATGGGTGACTTCAACTTTCCAATTATTGATTGGAAACATTTTAGTTGTAATAGTTTAGATGGAGCGGATTTTGTCCAGTGCGCTCAGGAAGGATTCCTGACACAGTATGTAGATAGACCAACACGAGGAGAGGCCACTTTGGATTTGGTGCTTGGCAACGAACCGGGCCAAGTGTTAGACCTGTTGGTAGGAGAGCATTTTGACGGTAGCGATCATAACTCTGTTTCTTTCACGATAGTCATGGATAAGGATAGGTACATACGGCAGGGTAAAGTTTACAATTGGGGGAAGGGTAATTACAATTCAGTTAGGCAAGAACTGGGTAACATAAATTGGGAACAGATGCTGTCAGGGAAGGGCTCCACAGAAATGTGGAGATTGTTTAAGGAATGCATACTGCATGTGCTCGATATGTTTGTCCCTAGCAGGCAGGGAAAATGCGGTCGAGTGAGGGAGCCATGGTTCTCGAGAGAGGTTGAACGACTGGTTAAGAGGAAGAAGGAGGCATATGTAAGGTTTAGGAAAAGAGGAACGGAAAAGGCTCTAGAGGGATACAAGTAAGCCAGGAAGGAGCTGAAGAAAGGGCTTAGGAGAGCTATAAGGGGGCATGAGAAAACCTTGGCAGAAAGGATCAAGGAAAACTCCGAGGCTTTTTACACGTATGTGTAGAACAAGAGAATGACCAGAGAAAGGGTAGGGCCGATCAAGGATTGTAAAGGGAATTTGTGCACAGAGCCTAAAGAGATAGGAGAGGTCCTTAATGAATACTTTTCTTCAGTATTCACAACTGAGAGGGACCTAGTTATAGAGGAGGACGTTGTGAAACAGGCAAGTAGGCTATAGGAGGTTGATGTTAGTAAAGATGATGTGCTAGGAATTCTGAGGAAGTTGAAGATAGATAAGTCCCCCGGGCCTGATGGGATTTATCCAAGGATTCTATGGGAAGCGAGGGACGAGATCGCAGGGCCTTTGGTGATGATCTTTTCGTCCTCACTGTCCACGGGTATAGTGCCGGAAGATTGGAAAGAGGCAAAAGTCATTCCCTTGTTCAAAAAAGGGAACAGGGATAACCCCTGAAATTACAGGCCAGTTAGTCTTACGTCAGTGGTGGGCAAATTATTGGAAAGGGCTCTGAGAGACAGGATTTATGATCACTTGGAAAGGTACAGTTTGATTCATGATAGTCAGCATGGATTTGTGAGGGGTAGATCATGCCTCACAAACCTTATTGAATTCTTTGAAGAGGTGACCAAACATGTGGATGAAGGTAGAGTAGTGGATGTGGTATACATGGATTTAAGTAAGGTTCCCCATGGTAGGCTCATGCAGAAGGTAAGGAGGCATGGGATAGAGGGAAATGTGGCAGATTGGATTCAGAATTGGCTGACCCTTAGAAGACAAAGGGTGGTAGTGGACGGAAAATATTCAACATGGTGCTCAGTTATGAGTGGTGTATCACAAGTATCTGTTCTGGGTCCTCTTCTATTTGTGATTTTTGTAAATGATTTGGATGAAGAAGTGGAAGGGTGGATTAGCAAGTTTGCGGACAATACGAAGGTGGGTCACGTTATGGACAGTGCGGAGGGCTGTTCTAGGTTACAAAGGGACATTGATAGAATGCAGAGCTGGGCTGAGAAGTGGCAGATGGAATTTAACCCTGAAAATTGTGAGGTGATTCATTTTGGAAGACAAACTTGAAAGCAGAATACAGGGTTAACGGAAAGATTCTTGGCAGTGTGGAGGAGCAGAGGGATTTTGGGGTTCATGTTCACAGTTCCCTGAGAGCTGCCACCCAGGTGGATAGAGTTGTTAAGAAGGCGTATGGTGTATTAGCTTTCATTAACAGAGGGATTGAGTTCAAGAACCATGAAGTTATGCTCCAGCTATACAAAGCCTGGTTCGGCCACATCTGGAGTATTGTGTCCAGTTCTGGTCACCTCATTACAGGAAAGATGTGGAAGCGTTGGAAAAGGTGCAGAGGAGATTTACCAGGATGTTGCCTGGAATGGAGGGAAGGTCTTACGAGGAAAGATTGAGAGAGCTAGGGCTTTTCTCTTTAGAACGACGAAGGATGAGAGGTGACTTGATAGAGATGTACAAAATGATCAGAGGTATAGATAGAGTAGACAGCCAGAGACTTTTTCCTAGGGTGGAGGTAGCTATTACGAGTGGGCATAGTTTTAAAGTGAGTGGCGGTAGATATAGGGGAGACATCAGAGGTAGGTTCTTTACTCAGAGAGTGGTCGGGGCGTGGAATGCATTGCCGGAGCAGGTAGTGGAGTCGGCCTCATTAGGGGAATTTAAGCGACTATTAGATAGGCATATGGATGATAGTATAAGGTAGGGGTGGAGGTTAGATGGACCTTAGGATTAGAGTAAAAGTTCAGCACAACATCGTGGGCCGAAGGGCCTGTACTGTGCTGTACTGTTCTATGTTCCAACATGATCTCCCAACTCCTATACTCAATGCACTGACCAATAAAGGCAAGCATACCAAATGCCTTCTTCTCCATCCTGTCCAACTGCAAATCCACTT